CTGTACATAGCATCATTATTCATAGTAGCTTGAAACTGCCCAAATGTCCATCAGCAGTAGGATAAATAAATGGTCATATTATGGTATATAAAAATACATACAATGGAATATAGAAATGAAAATAAATGACCTCCTAAATACAACAATGTGAATGAGCCTCACAAGCATAATTCTAAGTGAAAGAAGCCAGGCACGAGAGACCATATTGTAGCATTCCATTCATAAAAAGTAAAAAACTGGCAAAACTAATTGATAGTATAAGAAGTCAGGGAGTGATTTCCTTTGGGAAGTAGTGACTGGGAGGGGCCGAGAGGGGTCCTCTAATGTTCTGTTTCTTGATTTGGGTCCTGGTTATATATGACTGTGTTTGCTTTGAACTTCATATATATGAGCTCTTCACTTTTCTGTACATATGTTACACTTCATTAAAGAGTTTAAAAAAAGCATACCTAATTAGTTGTTCCATAAAGGCAGGGATTTTTAAAAAAAACGTAATTTAAAAATTGTTTCACTGTGGTAAAAAAAAATCATAGAATTTACCATCTTAACCATTTTTAAACATACAGCTCAGTAGTGTTAAATATATTCACATTGGAGGTGGGGTGGGGTGGGGTGGGTTGGGTATAGTTCAGTGGTAGAGCACATGCTTAGCATGCTCAAGGTCCTGGGTTCAATCTCTAGTACCTCCATTAGAAAATAATACTTTTTCTTAATTAAAAGAAAACAACTATAAAAATTTAAAACTATATATATTCACATTGCTGTACAACAGATGGCCAGAACTTTTTCATCTTGCAAAACTCAAAATCTACATCCATTGCACAATCACGGCCCATTTTCCCCTCCCCCTCAGCCCCTGGCAACCACCATTCTACTTTCTATTTCTATGAACTTAACTACTTTAGTTACTACATATGAGTGGAATCATACAGTATTCATCTTTTTGTGACTGACTTATTTCATTTAGCATAGTGTCTTCAAGATTCATCCATGTTGTAGCATGTATCAGAATTAATTCCTTTTTAAGGCCAAATGCTATTCCATTGTATTTATTTACCACACTTTACTTATCCACTCATCCACTGATGGATGTTTGGTCTGCTTCCACCTCCTGACTATTGTGAATAATGCTGCAGTGAACATGAATGTACAAATATCTCTTCAAGATCCTGCTTTCAATTATTTTGGATATAAATACCCATAAGCAGTATTGCTGGATCATATGGTAATTCTATTTATCATGTTTCTAGGAACTGCCAAACTATTTACCATAGAAGTTATACCATTTTATATTACCACTAACCGTGCACAGTGGTTCCAATTTCTTCATATTCTTACCATTTGTTACTTTCTGGATTTTGTTTGTTTTGATAGTAGCCGTCCCAATGGGTGTGAGCAACAGCAGGGATTTTCTCTCATGTGCTTTTTCACTGCTGTCTCCCCAGAGCCTACATCAATCTCTGGTACATAATAGCTACTCAGTAAATATTAGTTGCATAAATGAATAAACTGAATGAGTTGACTTTATGATAGGTTTGTGTAGTGGGCTGAACAGTGGCTCCCCAAAAGATGTGTCCACATCCTTATCCCCAGAATCTGTGAATGTTACCATATTTGCAAAAAGGTCTTTGTGGATATAATTAATTAAAGATCTTGAGATGAAGAGATCATCCTGGATTACCCAGGTGGGCCCTAAGTTCAATGACAACTGTCCTTATAAGAGATACACACAGGAGAAGACAATACAGAGGAGCAGGCAATGTGGCTACAAGCCAAGGAGGACAAGGAATGCCAACAGTCACCAGAAACTGGAACAGTCAAGGAAGGATTCTCCCCTGGAGTCTTGAGAGGGAAGCTACCCTGCTGAAACCCAGAACTGTGACAGAATAAATTCCTGTTGTTTCATGCCACCTAGCTTTTAGTAATTTGTTACAGCAGTCACAGGAAACTAATATAGTTTGTTACCTATAATTCTGAGAAACTTTTATCAAAAAGGATGGTTTCAGGAGTGAAGTGATGGGATGAGAGAAATAGGTGAGGGAGATTAAGGACAAAATTCCAGTTACAAAATAAATGTCACAGGTATGAAATGTCCAACAGAAGTGCTTCCGGAGCTGCAGTGATCCTTTCATTAGAAGTGATTGAATATTATGATATCAGAAGCCACTTAGTGTTATATATAGACGACTAGTTATGTATTATATATGTATGTATAATCATATGTACAGTCATATAATTATACAGCCATTCTTTTGGTAATTAGCTTTATTTATTTTTATTTATTTATTTTTCAATGGAGGTACCAGGGATTGAACCCAGGACCTTGTGTATGCTAGGCATGCACTTTACCCCTAAGCTACACCCTTCCCCTTATATAGCCATTCTTGATCATTCTTAATCTTTCTTAATCAAGTTTACCTCACAAGACTTACTCTTGTCCTTGGAGGAAGCAAGTTACAGAGTATTCTGGTAATCTATTGCTATGTAACAAATTTAGTGACTTAAACAGGACTTAAATTTTTTTAATTTAAAATTAAAAAATTTAATTAAAAAATAAACAATTAAATTAAAAAAATTTAAAATTTATTTTATATTTAAATTTTATGATGCTCATGTATCTGCAGTTTTGGGTGGGTTCATCAGAAATAATACCCCTCTGCTTTCACGAGTGTCTGTGGCCACAACTGGGAAGACTTGAATGGCTGGGGGTTGGCTTCCTCACAGCACAGCAGTTTCAGAGCGGCTAGACTTTTAAGGTAGCTGGACTTCCCCAGGGCAAGTGTTCCAAGATGCTCAAGAGGAAGCCGGATTACTTCCTATGACCTAGACTCAAAAGTCTCAGGACATCACTTCCACCATAGTTTGTTGGTTAAGCAAATTACTAAAGCCCCTCCTCCCAGATTCAAGGAGTCGGGGGATTAGTCCCCACCTCTCTATGGAAGAAGTATAAATGAATTTGTAGCCATTTTTAATACACCGTACAGAAATACAAAGTGTAGTGGATTCTGACAACAACAGTAAAGGAGCAAGAAGTTATCAACACTTCCCTTCACAGATCAAGATAAGATTTTCTTTGTTTTTAAAGAACAAGATAATTTGAGCATGTTTGAAAGCTAGGAGAGAGAAGGGAGTAGACTAAGGAAGGAAGGTAAAGAATGTTTGCTGCAGCAAGGTTTTAGAGCTTCAGAGAGTAGCCATACTGCTGTTGTGTGAACAAGCCATTTCCTGTTATCCTTGAGTATTGGTAAAAATCATGTGAAACTTAACAGCCTGGGCTCACTTTTGCCGTGGGAGTGGGGGGAAAGGCTGGCTCCACTTCTGGCCTGGAGGAGCAGTGCCTCCTGAAGCCAGGGCAGGGTTCCATGTCAGCCTTCTCCATGGGAGGGCCACGGCTTCCGTTTTCCTATCTCATCCTACACAACCCCATGTAGGACACTGCAGCACAAACAGAACCTGCAAACCAGAATACCAGTGCTAGGGCCCAGGCTGAAAGGCAGGTTTCACGTAGGATTAGGAGGGAAATATGGGTGGAGAGCTGGCTGTTACGCAGTTCAGTTTTACTAGGCTTGGAGGGGATGCTGAATGAGGAAGGTCAGGACCTAGATATGAGTGTGGGGGTACATCCTAGAATGTTAGAATTCTGTGCTCTGAGATAAAGCTGAGAGGCTCTACCGGTATTTGAGGGCCTTTCTTTGTTTCCCAGGGACTGCAAGGTGCCAAACTCTGAGATAGTTGAGAATATTCCTCACAGTGCAAGGCTTTTTGTCAGACAATGTCCTAGTTATCTATTCGTGAGTAATAAACCTCTCTAAAACTTGGAGTTTTAAAACAGCAGCCAGTTTATCATTTCTCAGGATTTTAGATAAGGCATAGTAGGAAAGAGCTGTCTCTGTTCTAGGCAATGTGGAACAGCTCAGTTGGCTAGAACAATCTAGATGGCTTCTTTCCTCAATGACTGGTCCTTCAGCTGGGATGATGGGTCCACCAGCATCCTGTGTCTGGAGTCTCATTTCTTGGTGATAACTGAGTTCCTACATTTCCTCCATGTGGTCTCCCTACAGCAAGGTGGAAGAGCCGTTGCAGCTCAGGACTATCAAGAGCTCAAAATCAAGGTTGCCAGGTGTTCTTAAGGCTCAGATTTGGAACTGGCACATCATCACTTCCCCCATATTCTTTTACTTGTTAAACTGAGTCACGGGTCCAATCCAGTTCCAGGATCGAGGATCACACAAGGTTATACTGCCAGGGGGCATGTTTCTTTGAGGGCCACCAAAGTAACCAGCTACCTAACAAGAAGGGCTCTAGGGGCAGACCTGTGTGTGGGGAGGGTGCTCCTGTTCCTAATTTCATTTTATGCTTCCCTCTCTTCCTAGATGACGGGAAGGCAAATAGTGGGTACCAAGGTAATCCCAAATTTCCTCTACAGAATTAAAGGTGGAGGGATCCAGTATGCTACTGGATCAGTCTGTATCTAGGAAGGCTGGGCTGTGTGTGTCTTCAGTCTATTAGGCATTTATTGAGAATAGCCTATGCGCTAGGTTCCTAATGCAAGTGTTACTTCGTTGACCCTATATTACAGAGGAAAAAGCAGAGGCTCGACGCAGTGCATCGCACCTAGCACCAGGCCACGACGCAGACTCCTAGGCCCTTTCTGCCCGGCAGCTAGAGTTGGGGCGGATGGACGCCGGGGTCTCCTGGAGGGCAGCACTCAACCCGGCCGTCTTGGCTAGCAGAGCGACGAGCTCCCAGGCAGCCAACGGGCAGAGGGCGCTTCGGGACTCCTACCCTGGCGCCGCCGTGCCGGGCGAGGGGATACAACTAGAGCGCTAGGGCGCCTCCTTAACCAAGTCGGGGCTAAACCCACGGTCGGGTTAGATATGCGCCGCCAGGGCCCCGTGTGTCTGTGCGCCGCGCCCCGCCCACGCACGCAGGCGCCGGTCCCGCCCCCCGCGCAGCTCTGGCTCCGCCCTCAGGATTGACCGCTCGAGCCACCGTCCGCACAGCCCCGCCCCGCACGGCCAGGAGAAGCAGAGCCGGCCGTGCGGTGAGTGTGTATGTGCTCGCGGGGCACGGTCTCAGCCCCGGGAAGATGGTGGCGGCGGCGGCGGAGACTGAGGCGAGGCTGAGGAGGAGGACGGCGGCGACGACAGCGCCCGTGGGCAGGAACGGCGGGCCGCTCCGGGACTGGGACGCGACGGGGGCTGGAAGGCCGGGACTGGGGGCCGGGCTGCGCCTCCCGCGGCGGCTGTGCTGCTGCTCCCGCCGCTGCTGCTGCTTCCCTGGGCTGCTGAGGCCGCGGCGGTAGCGGCGGCGGTGTCGGGCTCAGCCGCAGCCGAGGCCAAGGAATGTGACCGCCCCTGTGTCAACGGCGGCCGCTGCAACCCTGGCACCGGCCAGTGCGTCTGCCCCGCCGGCTGGGTGGGCGAGCAATGCCAGCACTGCGGGGGCCGCTTCAGGTGAGTAGGGGGTGGTGGTGGAGGGTAGGGCCCAGCCAGAGGCTGAGGCTAAGGGACGCTAGAGAGGGCCCCAGGCCAGAGGCGGATGCCGGACAGAAAGTGGGGAGGGTAGAGCCGCCCCATGGTGTTTGAGGACCATTTGCTTCCGGGGAGATCATTATCTCTGGCCTGGGGTCTTTCTGGACTAGAAGATGAACAGGTTCGAGACAAGGGTGGAGGCACCCCAGAGGGGTTTGGGTGCGGCAGGCTACATGGGAAGAAAGCTTAGGGTCTCGAAGAAATTGGGCCTCTTTCGATAAGGGAGGTATAAAAGAAAAGGTGAGAGAACCATTCTTCTGTAAACACTTCGTTTGAACATCCCCTCATTCTCTGGGGCCTGATGAGTTCCCTATTGCTTGGAGATGTGGGGGTATTCTGAAGAAACAGGGCCCTGGAAGAGATTTGTTGTCTGGAGATAGAAGGAATAAGGGTAGGACTGTGAGATATTAGAGATAGCAGAACCAGTGGTTGTTGGCTAAAGAAAAGTGAGGAAACTAGCCTTTGGAAGCTCACTGGAGGAGGCAGATTGGAGTAGGTCTGTGGTGGAGAGGGCATGGAAGGAGGTTCCTGTTTGCCTTGGTTTCTGGAGTTCTGAGTTGGCCTGGTTCAGGGCAGTACCTCTTGGAGAGATCATTCATTAATTACTTAGTAGTTAACTATTATTTGCTTTAGTTGTGCAAAGATTTCTGGATAATTCACACAAACAGATTAGCCAGACTTTGGCCTAGGCCACAAGGAGTTTGGAATATAGCTAGAGAAAGATATGTACATAGATAACCCCAATCATAAGGGCTACAGAGTCATTCATGCCTTTGACAGATATTTACAGAACATTTTTGTTGTCAAATGTGGAGGAGTGGGGAAATACAGAGAATAAGACAGACAGGGTCCCTGCCCTCATTGAGCTTACATTCTAGTGGGGAGACAGGGCGTTAACAAGTACATAAATGAGTAAAAGAAAAGAATGAGATAATTTCAGATAATGGTCATTGCTGTCAAGAAAGTAAGACAGGATGGCTTGATAGAGAATTAGAACCAGTGGGTGACTTTAGGAGAAGCCTCTCATTTGAAGTGGCAGTTGATCTGAGACCTCAGGGAGGCAATGGAGAACCTGTGGGAATTCAGGGGAAGAGAGGTTGTGATTAGCTGGGACAGGCAAGGGATATTTTGAGGAGGAGGTGACATTGGATTTGAGCATTTGAGGCTAAGTAGGATTTGGAAATGGGGAGCTGGGAAAAAAATTCCATATGAAACATAAGATGCAAACAAAATTGTGGAGACCAGAAAGTAAAGTATTGCTAGTGCCAGAGTATGTAGAAGAGAACTGTGAGAGAGGCATTTGGAAGAGTAGAATTATAAACTCATGTAATGTCAAAACTTCAAGGGAATTCAGGGAACATTGAGGAGATGAGCTCTTTGTTGTTATGGAGAAAGCAAATGATTTCAAGACTAATGTACAGTAGGGCTGGCCTTGTAACTTAGGGTTTATGAACTGCATTAATCTACATGTACCTGTTGAGGACTTCTCTGGTTTGGGCTGTGAGATTATAGTGGTTAACAAGACAGACAGTCTTGCTCTTGTGGAGCTTATGTTCTCACTTGGGAATAAGAAATCCAGTAATCAGTTTCTTATGATTTTCTTAAAGCTGTGGAAGTGAAGAGCAGAGATAAACAGAGGACTTGATTTTTGTTTGGAAAAGTAAGGTTAGTAACTGAATAAGTGACTTTTGAGTTGAGATCTGAGGGGTGAGATGGCACCCCCTACATGGGGGGTGGGATGCTGAGGGGCCAGCATGTACAGAGGCTTGGAAGTGAGAGGGATCATGGCAAGCCAGATGGCTGGATGAAGGCCAGGTGGCTGTAACAGAGAGAGCAAAGTGAAGTATGGCAGGACTGGAGAGAGAGGCTGGAGGGGAGGAATATGCATAGTAAGATTAGTCTGTCTGTAGTGTTCAGAGTAGGTGGATCACTTTAAGCATGAGAGATGGTGGGCAGCTAGGTTGAACTGTTGACATGGGTCAGGACAGCAGTAATGAGAACTTGAGATAAGCTGGGGATTGGAGGCAGAGATAGGTGCTAGGTGGTACTGTAGAGGTAAATGACAGATCTTTCTTTGAAACTTACTTGCTCTTGGAAAGAGAGGGGGGATGGTGAGGGAAAGAAAACTAGATGCTATCTTAGGCAATTGAGATGATGGTTATATCATTAACAGACACAGGGACTCAGGAGGAGTGTGTCTGAGATGTTTAAATTTGTACACACTGAGATTGAGGTGCTTTCAGGGTATCCACCTGGCAGGACAGCTGTAAGTGTTGGAGTCATCTACATACAGAGAGAGCAGGTCTGAGTGTCCACAGGGACAGTCCAGAGGGTTGGAGAAGAGCCACTTGTTATGGGGAACAGGCAGTCCTGACACTGGTTGTCTCAGATGGTGTCGTGTGAGTGAAGGGGCTCTCCTCTTTTTTGTGGACACTCCATTTGAGCCAGTTCCAGCTGGTGTCAGTGCTGTTTCCTGAGCAAACAGTTATGACCTTGATCCTAATACATTCACTATATTTTATGGGTTTCTGGAATTTGCATTTTAACAAATGAAAGTAAGAGGAACTTGTGTCTCTAGCCTTCAGAAAAACTTTCATTAAATTTTTAGTTGTGGGATTTTTTTTTAGGGGAAGAGTGAAATGTGATATGTATCTTGATATAACTTACAAAACTTCTTCTAAGTGAATACCTTTCTGGTTTGGGTCAGCATCAAGTTAGTGTTATTTTTAAGCTTTTTAGTTCCATAAATTCTGTGTTGTACTTGCTGTTATAAGGTCTTTTTCATTAATTGAAAGGAATGTAGAGTAATAAGAGGATTAGATTTCACTGAAGTTATCACTGAGTGCGTACTACATGCCATGTATATTGTGCCGTTTAATCTTCAGGACAACTCTAAGGGTGTTTAAAATTTGGATTATTGTATGATTGTAGTTAGAAAATCACTTAATTTTTTCCAACAGTAGTATACTATAGAAATGATTAATTACAGAGAATAAGATTAATGGTATCAGTTTAATAAAAATAACTATGAGATCTTGGGGGATGATTTCTAAAGAAGTGCCACTTCCATTCATTTTTATGTGACTCTTCATGATTCAATAATCAGTTTTTTTCTATTTGTGATATCACAATCAAAATTTTTCTTTGGAGGATAAATACATCCCGTCAAGTTAGAAAATAAAGAATATTAGGCTCATTTATGAAATTCACATGCATGTAATTCTTTTACGTTTCCTGCCATACAACTTTTGGGAGGATAAAATGCCATAACCTACTGAATTAGAACCTTATAGTTACCCATGATGTTAAGACCATCTGTATTAGAAAGAGAGAAGAAGATACAGTCCCAGCAGTAGCTGCTTCCATTTTTCTAGCATTTCCCCCTTTTTTCCCAGGTATTGTGTCAAGTGCCTTTTAGAAATTATCCTTTTTAATCCCTAGAATGAAGTTATTCCCATTTCATAGATGGGTAAACTAAAGCTTGGAGATGTGGAGTAACTTGCCCAGGATTACACAACTTGTGGGTAATTGGAATTTGAAGTCAGGCCTTGTGTAACTCTGAAACTCATGATTTCCATTGTACCATTTGGCCTTCCGTTTTTTTCTGAGTCTAGTCATCCTTTATGAACATTATTTGGAAGGGCTGACCTAACTCCAACACTTTAAGAAACAAAAGAGGGAAAATAGATTTGTTACAAGAAAGCTAGCATAAAAAGAAAAATTAGGGGGACGGGTATAGTTCAGTAGTAGGGTAGGTTAGGGGGTAGGGTATAGCTCAGTGGTGGAGCATATGCCTAGCATGTAGGGGGTACTGGGTTCAATCCCCAGTTTTAAGCCACACAGTCTGTAAGTACAATAAATGAATGAATGAATAACAACCTTAATTACCACCCTGCCCCCCAACCCCCAAATTTAATGAATTGAATCTGGCTGCTGGTCTGAGGACATAAATATACTTTTCTAACTGGTGAAATGAAAATTCTGGGAAGTAAAATTTGATAAAAGAAGAAGGTAAAAAATACTTTGCTTATAGTAATTACTAACCGATATTAATCTGAAGACCTGAATTTATGTTCATGAGTCGAATTTAGGCTTGTCTGTTTTCCCCAGTAGAATATAAGCTCCATGAGGGCAGGAATTTTTATCTGCCTTGCCCACTGTTACATTCCCAGAGCCTAGAGCAGTGCCTGAGACATAGTGCTCAATAACTATTGTTGGATGAAGGAATGAAATTCTGCTATATATTCTTTGTGACTTGAAAAAAGTCATCATTACCTGTATGACTGCCATATTTGTCTTTTGTCCTTTTATTTCTCCTGAACTTCATTGTCTTGTCATCCACTGTTAGCTGGGCATCTTTATTGGGATGTTATGCTGTCCCCTCATATGTAGCCACGTCTAAGACCAGACTTCTTATGCTCATTGGAAAAAACAGTCTTTTCCTTTGTACTTCCTTATTTCAGTAGCAGCTCCTACTTTAGATAACCAAAGGTCAAAACTCAGGGCTAATCTTTCGTTCTTTCTGTTTATTCCCCCTTCCATAAAGTCTTGGAAATTTGTTCTTTTCCTTCTTCCCTGCTGCCATCCTAGTGCACCTAGCTCTTTACATCATTGCTGACCTGCCTCTTTTGTACCCTGGCTGGTCTCTTGCACTGCCAGAATCCAATCTACCTTTTGTCATATAATCAATCACCTGAGAATATTTGTCACTGTCTTGCTCAGAAATCTTTTTTTTAAACTCCTTTTATTATCTGTAAAATGACCTTCAGCAGAAGGCCCCTGAATGCCTTACATACATCCCCTTTTCCCTAACCAAGTACTTCTGCTTTGTAGTTTTTCTGCATTATTTGCTAAATTCAGCACCCTTTCTCCTCCCTGCCACCACATTCTCTCTTTTCTTCTCTGCTTATCTAGATTCTACC